ATTTGGGAAGTATGAAAAGGGCAGAGGGTTAAAAAAAAAAGATTGTGCTATTTTGCCAGTAAGGAAGGACTCAGAAGCCGGGAGAGGTGAAGCAATTTAAGTGAGGTCAGACCAACTGTCTACTGTGGATTCAAGGAAAAGTATCTAAGAGGCACTGCTCCACCACCAAACCATTCCTGATGGACACACAAGATGCTAACACAATCCTCCCAGAAACGCTGCTGTCAGTTTTGCCTCAGTTTTCCAATAAACAGGCTATTTTTTCTAATACTGTCTGGAAACATTGGTTATCCTGGACATCAATGTCATTTGAGCAATGATTTTCACTGTTGTTTGGTAGATTCCAAGGGTTAAGGCCACTATAACGGATGGCAACATTCTGGTCACAAATATCCAGCATGAAGAGTTCTTGCTTCAGGAATACTTAGGCTAAAATGCACTTCTCAGGTGTTTTAAGCCACCGGTATGATTCTGAAGAAATTCTTCTGCCTCTGCAAGCTTCAGTTTTCCTTAGTGGGATAAGAAATCTTGTCTCAACCACTGTACCGCCATCCTGCCCAAAAGGATCACTGGGAAATCACAGGAATCCGTACTGTCTTAAACTCGTTAAAATAGGGCTAGGTTACACATACTTGAAAAAATCATTCATCAGGGCAGTGATTTTTTTTTTTTAAAGATTTATTTCTTTTTTTTTACTGGAAAGTCAAACTGACAGAGAGGAGAGACAGGAAGATCTTCCAACCAACAGGAAGATTCACTTCCCAAGTGGTCGCAACGGCCAGAGCTGGCGCTGAGCCAAAGCAGCAGCCTCTTCTGGGTCACCTATGTGGGTGCAGGGTCTCAAGGCTTTGGGCCATCCTCAACTGCTTTCCCAGACCACAAGCAGGGAACTAGATGGGAAGCGAGGCCACTGGGACACAAACTGGTGCCCATATGGGGTCCTGGCACGTGCAAGGCAAGGACTTTCGCCATTAGGCTACCGCCCTGGGCCCAGGGCAATGATTCAGCCTAGCAGTTCATCTGCTGGTTATGTTTCACGTCGGAGTGTCTGAGTTTGAGTCCCAGTTGTGGGTCCCAAATCTTCCCTCCTGCTAATGGAGACCTAGGAGATAGCAGTGACTGCTCAAGTGATGGGTTCCTGCTACCCTTGGGGAGACCTGGACTGACTTGTTGCTTCCTGATTTTGGTTCAATCCAGCCCAGCCCTGGCCATTGCAGGCATTTGGGGGAGTGAATCAGGAGATAGAAACGCTTTGTCTTAAGTAAATAAAGCAAAAAGTAACATATACTATAAGAACGTCTTTAAATGTCTGGTCTCATTCAACCATTTCTAAAATCTTAACTTTTAATTAGGCTTAAATTGATTCCAGATCCACCCAGAGCTCTAAGTGACCTTCATTTCAGCTCTTTGGGCAAGAAAACTCAGGAAGAAACAGGTAAGAGGTGCATGCTGTCACAGAGGCAATGACTTCTGGATTTCTGGTTTAGCATGGAGAGACTGTCCTCTGTGGTCTTGGAAGGTATCTCAACTTCTTCCCAGTTATATGACAAAGCAACTCTGCATCCAAGATAAGAAACTGTGGATGCTGCAAGCCACAGCACTGGAGAAAAACTGTCCTCTGCCACAGGACTGACCCCTTTCTGCAGCACCCACTACATATAAAATGCCAGCAGGACAGAAGACACGCAGTACGGGAAGCAGCAGTTGTTTCTTAGGAAAAAAAAAAAAAGCCGGACCGTTACTGGTCAAACAGAGCAAGAACTCCTGAGAAGCCATCTCCGCCAAGCATCCTTAATTACATCTGCTGCCCACTAGAGCACGCATGTGAAGATGTTTGTGGTTTTGCAGTAGGACCAAATAATTAGCATGTCTGAAAACATAGTACAACAGAAAACAGTTTTACTAACTTTTCAGAGAGGAACTAGATCAACTCTCTGCCACTCTCCTGCCTTTTACAACATGCAGTTTTAAATTACTGTAAATAGCATGAGCAAACGGGCAGTTGTGACATAGTGAACTGAGCTGCTGCTTGCGACGCTGGCCTCTCATGTTGAAGTGTCAGTTCAAGTTCCAGCGTGGCCTTCAATCCCTCTTCCTGCTAATGTCCCTGGAAAAGGAGTAGATGATAGCCCAGGTACCTGGACCCCTGCCCCTCCCCCTGTGAAGACCAGGAGGCTAGCTGCAGCCTGGCCCACCCCTCACTGTTTGGGGCTTTTGGGGGAATGGACCAGTGGATAGGATCTAACATACGCACTCTGCCTCTCCCTCTGCCTTTCCAATCAATCAATCATGTTATGAAAGTCTATTTTTAAAAAATGACTACGCACTGGGGTGTCTGTATTAATAATCTTTAAACAGTTCCCCTTCTACTGAGGTTTATGTACAAAACAAGTAGGTTTCTACATTTTACAAGGGAGGTATACAGAGCTAACCTACCTACTAGTTTGAAAAATAATGGCAAAGTCCATTCCAAATTCCAGTGCAGTAAAATCAATTCCTCATTAGAGAGGAGGAAGTCTGCGAACGTATGAAACAAAAGCAAGAACCTAGATATTTGGGTATCAATAGTTATCTTCTCTTCTGGACAATTATTCAAAATCTCCTTCCCCCAAAGTTTTCTAGAGGTGGCTGTTGGGATCAATGGTTAAATGTTAAATGCCATCTGGGGTGCCGGTATCCCAGAGCTGCTTGGAATACCTGCACTCCATATTGCAATGTCAAGGTCTGAGATCTATCTGGACTTCTAGTCCCAGCTTCCCAACTAGTATCCTGGGAGGTTTCAAATGGTGACTTAAGTAGGTGGGCTTCTGTCACACACCTGGACACCTGCCTCCTGCTAGGGACTCCTAGCCTGGCTGAGTCCATTGTTGCTAGCTAGCATCTGGGGAGTAAATCAGGGAATCCAAGATGAGTATTTTTTTTTTTCTTAAGTATTTTAAGCTCATGACTTTCTCGGGCAAAGAAAAAAAAAAAGCAGTGTGTGTGTGTGTCCTGTGCCCTCGGCCTTATCTGTCACATAGCCCTCACAACAGCCCTGTGGGATTGTTGCTTTCCTTTTTAAAACACTGCTTATTTATTTGAGGACAGGAGGGTAGGGAAAGCAAGGCAAGAAGGGAAGAGAGCAAGCACAGAGGCTCCCATGCATGGGTTCACTTGTGGAATGTCTCTGCAAAGGCCTGGGCTAGGCAGAGAGCGGAAAGCTCAATCCTGGTCTCGCAGGTGGGTGGCAGCCACCTACCCTGAGCTCTCACCATCTGCTGCCTCCAAACTCTGCATTAGCAAGAGCTGGAATCAGAACTCAGACTCCGGCACTCTGTCTCATAGGCGGTTCTGGCATCTTAATTTCAGTTAAGATCAAATGCTCATCCCTTTCTTCCTTTTAACAAATGAAGGAATCCAGGCTCAGGGATGCTGGAAGGTCCCCAGGTTGCTCAGCTGGGGTAGAAGGGAGAAAGGTGCGCGGCCCCGCAGAGCCCGTTATCCTCCGCAGCTGCGTTTGCCAGATGAGAATCACCTGTGTCTGCTGGTGAGCAAACACGAAGTCCAACATCACCTCCACGCTGTGCACGGGGCAGCTTGGGGAAAGCCAAATGTCGTCCCTCTATTTGCGGCTTCTCCACGCATCAACACCCTTGTCCCCACAAAACTCACCAAATCCCGATCAAACCACCAACCACTCAGGGATGCTCAGGGCTTGGGATTCTCTGCCGTTTCTCCTTTTAGTTCTTTTTCTCTCGCGCATGGAATTGCATTTACCGGCTGCGACCAGGCTCTAACCACCAGGCTTCCCAACCGAGCGCTGGAACGGCAGTCCGCCTCCAGCCAGTCAGTCGGACTCCGCGGGGGCTCGGAGACTGCTTTCATCCCATCCCTGCCTCCAGCGTCCGTCACGCAGTTTCCTTGGCGAGGAGGGACCTCCTTCCTCTCCCGGCCTTCGAAACAAGGCTCTAGGAACTGTACTACACAGCCTGGGAGCCCCGGCTTCCAGCCACCCTGGACGCCGCGCAGTCCCGTAAAGCGCGCGCCCGTTCCCCCGGCCGCGTTCGTTTCCCCACCCGCCGCCACCTGGCTTCTTGCAGCGGCCGCCCGGGAAGCCCTCGGCGCTTCCCAGAATAGGGAGCAGCTGCCAAGGCCAGGCTGCCGCCCGCCTTCTCCTCCTTCCCTGGCCTCTCGCCTTTCCTCACGGGTCGGGAAACTGAGGCCCGGAGTCGCGGTCACACCGCCGACGCCGCTCGGTCGTCCCGAGGAGCGGACGCGAGTCCCCCGAGCTAGCGAACGCACCGCGCAGGGCGCCGGTGTCTGCCGACCCAAAGTTGCAACCTCGCAGCCTGCCCTCGCCACTCACCTCCCCGCAGACACACCTTGCCGCGGGCCCGGCAGCCGCGCTCCCACATCCGGTCCACCTTGCGCACACCCCTCTCCGCGCGCCTTCGCAGCCCCTCAGCTTCCCGGCGCCGGTCGTCCCGGGCCGCTCCCCTCCGCGTCCTCCACCCACCGCACCTCGTGCGCTCCCACCTGTGCCCCCCAGCCACTCGCAGGCGTGCCCGTCAGAAAACCGTGACCCCTCTCCCCCTTTTTCCGCCCCGCCGGGCGCCCAGGGGCGAGGGAGCCCCGGGTGGATGGCCGCGGCGGGCGCGAGGCGAGGGGCGCAGCGGCGCGCCGGGCCGGGGGAGGGGGCGCTCGCTCGCCGCCGCTCTCGGCCGCGCACACGCCCGTACAAACTCTCACACAGACACACGCGGGGTGCGCTGCCGCCGCCCCGCCGCTGCTCCTCCTCCCGCCACCGCCTTGAGAGGGAGAGCGAGGGAGGCAGAGAGAGCGCTTTGTCCGCGCGCCGCCGCCGCCCGGCCCGGGACTCTGCCCCGAGGAGGCAGCCGCGCCGAGTCCCCGCCTCCGCCTCTGCCCCCGGGCGGGCCGGGCCGGCCGCGGTGGGGGGAGCCAGGCTGAGGGTGAGGGTGGGGGTGGGTGGCGGAGGAGGAGAGAGAGAGAGAGAGAGAGAGACGAGGGCAGCAGAGGAGGCGAGGAGCGCCGGGTACCGGGCCGTGGGGGGGAGCCACGGGCTCTCGGGGAAGACGCGGATGATGAACAAGCTTTACATCGGGAACCTGAGCCCCGCCGTCACCGCCGACGACCTCCGGCAGCTCTTCGGGGACAGGAAGCTGCCCCTGGCGGGACAGGTCCTGCTCAAGTCCGGCTACGCCTTCGTGGACTACCCTGACCAGAACTGGGCCATCCGCGCCATCGAGACCCTCTCGGGTGAGCACTCCGGCGCTGCCCTCCCACCCCCTCCACCGCCCCAGCCTCGCCCGGCTCAGGCCGGGACGGCGCCCGGAGCGAGGCCGAGCCCTCCGGGCGGCGCCTGGCGGGGACTCCGGCGTCCCCGCGCTCACTTCCACGCACCAGACCCTCAACTCCGGCCACCCGCCTGCCCGCTCGCTCCCGGGACAGTCCGTTCCTCTCTCCGCTGCCCCCCCCCCCCGAGTCCCGGGACTCATCCCCTCGCGCTCGGGGCCGCAGCGAGGGGTGCTCCCCGCGCCTCTCCGAGGGTCCCGGGGGCTCGCCCACACTCTGGAGGAGACCCCTTCGTCCTCCTGGTGCCCCGAGCCGCTCTCCGAGGCTTCCCCACCCCCACCCTCCTGGAATGCCGGGTCACCCCCACTGCCCTGACCTTCCCATCACTCCCCACCTTTGTCGGGGACCCCCTCCTCAAATCCCACATCTCCTCCTCCTCCCCTGGCCGGACCTAATCCCTTTTCCCTTGCCTCGTGCCCCGCACCTCTCGCCCTTAGGCGTCCGCAGAGCCGTACTCTGCTTTCCAGCCCCTCCCCACCTTGTTCCTGGCCCCCCGCTTTGGGGACCCCTTGGGGGGCACCCTGGTGAATCCCTTTGAGGTCTCGGGACTCCCCTCTCCTCGTCCAACCCCCGCAGGACGGCACCACATCTCCGCGGGTCCTCTCCCGAGCCCCAGTCCCCTCTTTGCTAGTCTCCCAAGCGCTCCTATTTTTCCCTGAATTTTTTGTCCGATTTTATTAAGAAGAACTCGGGGCTGGGGGCTTTCCGCCGCCCGTCCCCCCGCCTCCCGCTCGGCCAGAAGCACCTTTTTACGAGGTGCCCTGTCTCAACTCGGTGGGGGCCCGGGCTGAGAACCGGGAAAGAGGCGGCCGGGGGGCCCGCGAGCGCGCCGGAGCCCAGACGGGAGACGGAGAGCGACACACACACACACTCACACACATACACAGGCGCGCGCGCTCGCAACTCGCCCTCCCGCACCCGGCGGCGCTCGGAGCCTCGCTCGGCCCCCGAACCCCGGCCCGCGCCCCCCGAACCCCGGCCGGCTCCCCTTCCCCACGGGCGCGTGGGTGGGGGCGGGGCGGCGCGGCGGGGAGGCCAAGGTGACTGACACCCAGGAGCGGGCAGGACGCGCGGCTCCTGTCGGCAGCATACCCCGGGTGTTGGGGGGTGGGTGGGGATGCTGGGGGGCTTCGGCGGGGCCCGGGTCGGGGGACCCCCCGGGAGCGTAGGGCCAGAGAGGGGAGCGCGGCGGAGCCCGCGGGTCGCGGGGTAGCGGAATAGAGAGGTGGGGGCCGGGAGAGGAGCGGGGCCGCGCCAGCCCTGCAGCTTGAGTTTCATATGAGCTCATCCTTTCAAATTGGCGCCGCTCTTTATTAAATTTGTTTTTCCGGTAATGCCACCCACGGCTCTACCTGGGGTCGGATCCCGGCTCGCAGCCTCCTTCCCCACTTGGTCCCGAGACTCGGGGCGCCCACCTTTCTGCACACGCTGGGAACCGAGCTCCAGCCGGGGCAGGAGACCCCTGGAGGGCGCCCGAAGGCGGAGCCGGAGCTTGGAGTTCCCGTGCCTGCCCCTCCTAGACCCCCGTGGGTGGGAGCCGAGGAAGGTTCTGAGTGCTTTAATTTCTGTTTTAAAGGTAAAGTGGAATTGCATGGGAAAATCATGGAAGTTGATTACTCAGTCTCTAAAAAGCTAAGGTAAATACATTTTTCCCTTTTTTTTTTCTTTTGCGATTGGCCTTACGTATAAGTAAAAATACCCAGGTTTTGGAAATGTGTTCCTATGTATATGTATGTGCATATAAATATTTTTATAAATTTTAAGAAGAAGCTTTTTGCTTGTGTTATTAGTGGAGGCACATGGCTTAGAAAGTTACATTTTTTACTTTCATTATATAAGGTGTTTACTGTACTTGATGCCTATTTGGGGGTCGGAGTGGCGAACACTGGCCACTGGCCACGCTCACTCGCTAGGGCCGGTTCACTTGTTTATGCACAGGGGCCTATCCCCCACCCCCTACTTCCCACTCCCACCCTCACCCCCAGCACAATGGCCACAAATGCTTGTCAAGACTTCCTGTGAGATGTTAAGAGTAAATATTTACTGTGTCAGCTGAATTGCCCAACTCAACTTCACGATTAATTACTTTTCTTTTTTAGATAGTTTAATAGGGGAATCATAAGATAATTCAGGGAGAGCTCAATATTTTTGCATGGCAATCTAAAGAAGTGGGTTGTTTGCTACAAGCCAGACTTTTTAAGGCACTGGGGCAGCTGAGTGTGGCTTCTCAGCGTTTTGTTGCTGTTTTTAAGAAACGTTTGAAGCTGAACACATGCCACTGTGGAATCTGCAGTTACCTTTAAGCGCCTGGTTGTTAAGGAAGGAGTAACACGTTTTCTGGACCCTGGGTTTCCCCACAGTGATTTGCTAACAGGAGGGAGGAGAACATCTTTGTTTAAAGTTGATTGTGGACTTTAAATGGGGGCCCTTTATTACTCACTCTAATGTATTTTTTTCCTTCTGTGTGGCGTAACTTCGTTTATGTCCCATTCACATACATTTCTCCACCATTAGTCATGGAGTTGCTGAATTGGAGAGGCTAAGCCTTTCCACCTTTGCAGCTTGTGATAGGAGTATCATCAGGATTGAGGAGATGTCTACAAGAAACTCTCCTGATTTTATAAATGCCTGAATGTGTTGTTGCAGGCATTTTTAAAGCGCATGTGCACGTTTCCAGATATGTTTTATTTGAGGCAGTGTTCTGTTTGCAGTTCATTTTGTGACACACCAGAAAACTACTCAATACCTTAAAAAAAAAAAAAGGTAAAAATTGTGATTTTGCAATTCTTCCTGCTGTTGGAAAAGATGTATTGTGTGACTAATTGACTTTCAGTATTCTAAATTCATATACTTTAAATGATAGCATTTTTTTTTTTGCTTGAGAAATCCAAGTTGAAGCTTTCTGATGCAAGTATTTCTTGCAAATTTAAGGCACCCCACACACTCAAAATGTAATCACTATATTGAACATTAGAAAGAACTGCCTCGAATACCTGATGCATTGTGTCCTGCAGAGCTCTGATCCTCTGGACTTGGTAGCCCTTGCAAATCCTTTTGGGGTTCTAGTGAGTAAAAAAAAAAATCACTCGGATTTTAACTTGAGTTGATTGATGTCTTATTTCACGTTGGAATGTACACTATTTAATTTTTTATACGTGAAATACCAGTGTATCAAAATTTATTAACATCTATAACTTGCTATACTACTTGGTAGCTTTTTCTTTTAAAATGTTGAGATTATTTGCTGTGCACTCTAGTGTCATTTAAATAATTTTGTTCTGCTTGTGTGAAAGTTCAGAATTAGAGGCATGTCCCACGTTTTGAATATCAAATTAAAAAAAGAGCAATCCTGGATTCCTAGAGCTCTTGTTTTTTAGGACATGTGGGCGATATGAAATACTGAAGCGGTAGATTAAATGTGCTGTGTGTGATTCACTACTCTGAAGATGTTTAACATACCAAATGTATGCATAAGCTGCAGCTGAGAGGAGTTCTGCCCTTACTGATTGGGTGGTTTTAATCTCTTTTCCTTTTCTTTATTAGTTTAAAATGCAGAAATTAGCTACTTGCACTGCAGGCTGAGGGCGAGCTAGCTGATGGCTGGTACTATATACTACAGGCAGACTCTTGGGGTGAGCAGTGAAGTGTTGTCTCCTGTGCTGGGCACCACCACACTGTAGCTTTCAGAACTCCGGGTACTGTGACATTGGAAACCATGGCTTCTGTGTTAGGTGGTGACTCTTTCGGTGTTCTTTGGTTGCACTTCTGCTAAAATTAAAAAGTTAGGAGTAAATTGGTGGGCATTACGTCAGTTCTGTATATGGCTTTTATGTTGCTTGAAGAGAAAAATGAGAACAACTCCTCCTCATTAGTTGTTTGCTTAAAAAATTCACTCAGTAATTGAGTGCTGATTTTCTTTATATTGTACTGAATTCTCAAGAATCAGTTTTAACATGTTCCAAGTAGATTTCCTAAAACAAATGGTAATTTGGGAAAAGATCTTTTAAATCTTAGGTTAGATTATGAAATTATTGGCATGCCATTTACCTACCAGTAGAATCTTTTGTTACATGATGATTTTGTATGCATTGTTACAATACTCAAACTAGATACCATTTTTTTTTCCCTTAGGGGCACTCAAAAACAAAGTTTTTTCCTTTTTGCCACCTTATGTTTTATTCTTCAGTGCAAATCTATTTCTCATTCTAAGTTGGTCTCAGTCTTTTTTGAATAAAAATCTTTGGCTCATTCTTTTTCTACATAGATTTCTTGTTAATCTGTGAAGATCAAAGATTTATTTAAAATGAAGAAAACTTGTAACCTTTAAAATGCTATTAAAAGTTAAGGAAATTTCCCTGAAAGAAATTTGATTTTTGATGTTAATGGAAGTTCACTGTGAATAAATATATATGCAGACACACACATATTGTATAAATTGTTTTGAGCTAAGACATGGGGAAGCTTGGATGTACTTTTGTATCTAAAGTTGAATGATTCTGTGAGAAACAAAACTTTGAAAAATGTAATTTCTGCCCACCTCTAGGAAGTAACTAGTACATGCTGGATATGTTTTCACGGAGAAGTGTGAACAGTATGGGGCAGAGTAGGGGAAAAGCTATGAATTTGTCTTTCATGAGTTAAAAAATCAGTAATTGTGTTCTCTCCAATGCAAATGAATTTGGTCTCCTATAGGAATGTTAAAGAAAACAGTATCTCAATTGTATTTTGCTTGTATGTACTACATTGTGTATAGTTGAATTAAATACCAAAAAGAAAAAAAAAAACCATCCAGCTCAAGCCATCCATCTAACAAAGGCTTTTGCTGCATCAATTTTTAATTTTCTAGAAACAGAAAAGACTTTTTTTTAAACTTACAATCATATGGTAGCTTCCCATTTTAAGCAGTTGTCGAATTAGGAATGAATACTAGCACTTAATTGTATACATTGCATGTGTGGATATAATATATGTTAAAACAAAAATATGTGACATCACGCTATAAGATTACTTTTCATTTGGCTTTGGAGTTGGAACTTTAGTTTCCCATTTTTTGAAAGCTTGATGATTTTTTCATGTGACTCTAGGAAATATCATAGAGAATTGCATGTTTTAGTTCTCTTGAATAAATAAATGTTAAACAGAAATAATAAATAATAATTATTTGGTCAGTTAAGTGATGATGTAGATTTAAAATTCTACTTTATATTTTTAAAAGACTGGTCATCTAATTTTTTTTTTATCCTTACTTAGATATTAAAAACTAGTAAAAGTCTGTTATCAAAATGTTTGCAAATTCATCAAGCTTATCAATTTTAAATTGTAGTGTAACAATTTATAAAAATATTTAATGACTAAGCACCTAGACATTAACCCTAAAAATTAACTTAGCAAATTGTAGTACATTTGCCAAGTTATGCTTTTCAATAATCATCATGTTTCCTGGTATTGATGGCTGGCTAGAAGATGACTGGTAAGAGATAGTTAAGAATTTTTGGTTTTTACTCTATTAATCTGATTATTATTTATTAGAAGATGAGGGGAGATTTGTAATATTTGTACAAAATCTTTTTGTACATATGATCTAAAGTATGTTTCCTTAAGAAGGGATACTCTTAACTTTTAAAGTGCTTTTCATAGACATCAATTTAGAACTGATTTTCTATCAAAATTAGCATTTCAGTTTTTTGAGTGAACACATTTTTTTAATGGAGCTTACTGAATTTTTTTTAAGTATTGGATTGGGGAGGAACGTAAATGATACCGAATTACAAGTAAAAATAGCAATTTGGATGCATTTATTAAAAGTCAAAAAAGCTATGAAAGCCAGATTTCTACAGGAGCTATTTATATTTGATACTTAAGGCTTACTAAATGTTTGCTGTCCATGGCTGAATCACTCTTCCAGATCTGCTCATGAAACCCTCCAAAGAACATGAGCCATCGGTCTGAGTTGTAAGGGAATATTATGGAAGTTAAGTGTGTCACTTTTGTGACTCAGTGGGGTGTGTGCAAGTGTGTATGTAGGCTTTGTGGGGGATAGTAGTTTCTGAGATGGTATTAAGAATCAAGAGGAGAGGTTTCATTGGGTAACAGTTGCTATGAATTTCAGTACTAACAAGGCTAATGAAAATCAGTGATGGAAGCTGTGACAAAAGGAACCCGGTGCTGTGAAATGGCCTTAAGTGATACAGAGTTCCTGGCGGTGGTCCTGTGGGAGGCACCGGCAGCTCACAGGCACCTGTGGTGACTTTTCAGGGAACCCTACTACCATCCAATGCAAAATTCACTCTTGCTTCCTTTTAGCTTGAATGTCTCCTCTCAGAAGTGTTTCTGTGAAGTCTGGGATAAGCTGTGGTTTAAGTGTCAGAAAATTCAAGATTTGAATATTCATTTTCATTTAGAAATTCTATACTTTAGAAGTCAGTGTTAATTTGTATAACACAGATCCTCCTCTGGGTGAATCACTTTGTTAGAAGCGTAGTGTTGAAATTTCTTTGGAGGTTGTTTAAAAAGTTGAGTTATTAATTTCATGATAAAGTTTTAAAATTATATTTTAAACATTACAAAACTCTTCAGTGATTTGTTTTAGGGAGTGGTAAGTCTTGGCTAATCAATTATTTAGAAATTTTTACTCTGA